AGTAAATATTTTAAGTCTTCTTCATTTCCAGCAAGCACGGTTGCAACATCTGCATATCATGGGTTGTTAATGAGTCTTCCTCCAATTCTTATGTTAGCAATGTTAACCTTCGCTCCATGTCCTCTTCTGGATCTGGTTTAAATTTCTGGCCATGCTCTTCTTCATATAACCTAGTTTCTCAGATTATTTGCTCAGCACACAGATTGAATATGTATGGTGAGAGGATATAACCCTGGTGCATACCTTTTCTGCTTTTAAACCATTCAGTATCCCCTTGTTCTCTTCTAACACTGAATTTTGGTTACGTACAGACTCCTCATTAGCACAAGCATGTGTTCTGGAAAACCCATTGTTCGCAATTGTATTCACAGTTTGTCATGATCCATGCAGTCAAAAACCATTGCATAGTCAATAATGCACAAGTAAACATCTTTCTAGTATATTCTGCTTTTAGCCAATATCCATCTGATGTCAGCAATGTTATCCATAGTTCCACGTCCCCAACTGGATCCTGCTTGAGTTTCTGGCAGTTCTGTCAATATAACATTGCAACTGTGTTGGAATTATCCTAAGCAAATTTTTACTTGCAAGTGATATTAATGATATTGTTTGATGATTTCTGCATCTCACTTATACCTTCTAAGTTATTTATAAAATAGGTATTTTGTTTTTTTACTATCAGCACATATTGTGGAGATACTATCTAACAATATGTGGAGAAATCTGATGGTTAAAACTGGAAATGCTTTCCTCTAGAGGGTCTGCAGTTTCTTTTAATGGGACCATGTTAACACCTTCATGGAGCCTGGCTTATATAAGGCTCCAGGGTTTATTCTTCCATCTTGCTAGAGACTAACTCTCGAGTACTTGTCCCATCACTGATGTGGGCAACTCTGATCCCACAGCTTGTACACTCACCTTACAGATCACAAATCTCCATTCGAGTTTCAGCTATTTTGTCTGGGTGCATGCTCCTCAGAAGTTCTCACACTTTGTGCATGTTTGATAGCCCATCGAGAATGAGGTTTTTAAAAATGATTCCAGAATTTATTTGATCTATAGTTGGAGAGCCCTTAATGATAGGTGCAGCATTATACTAGTAGAGGAGTCCTGGTGTAGTGCTATGGGTTAATGCATGGGACTGCAAAGTCAGTTTGAACCCCAAGGCCGGTGGTTTAAGCTCACCAGCCACTGCTTGGAAACCCTATACAGGGTCACTATGGGTCAGAACTGACTCAATGGCATTTAATAACAATACTAGTAGAGTTCTGGTGTTGTGCAATAGGTAGGATAAGCACTGGAGTACTAACTACAAGGCCAGCAATTTAAACCCACTAGCTGCTCCTAGGAAACACTATACAGGGTTGTTATGAGTCTGAACTGACTTGACGGCACTTACCAACAACAAAAACAAAATAGAGTAAGCAGAAACCATTTAATCTTTACAGATAAAAATATTCACTGATATAATTGCTTAAACTTTTAATTTGATGGGCTTTTCACCATTCAGTATGCCACAGATAATGAGTTAATAAGCGTCTTTCTCATAATATTAAAAGGGATGCATATTTGGGTGTCCTAAAATTTTACTGAGTCACCGTCAATGCTATTCTAGAATCACTTGATATGCATAAAAGGGCAAAAGAAAACACATTCTTTTTCATAGTTAGAATTCTCATTAGTACTATAGCTGTTCAAAATGCTGAACACATTCCAAATTTAGTTTAATGCATCCTACACACATGATTACCAGATTCTGCTCGATGATAAAAATTGCTGGCTTAGAAAATTAAAGTACCATATCTACACTCCCACATACAACTAGGCTGGCTTAATTCCACAGATTAGAATCTACAACCTATCTTCCACTGTGTGGATCCTGAACAGTCAATAATTTGCTGCACTCATTTTGAAGCAAAGTGTTATATACATAACATTGATCATTATACAGTAATATGAGAACCCTAACTGGTGTCAAAAGATACCAAAATTGAACTTTTAATACCTAATAACCAGCTTAAAAATTGAATTTAAAAATGAGATGATGTAACCATTATTCAGAAAATATAATATTACAGAAGGGAAAAGAATACTTAACATTGAAATACTATGAATATTCAATATGAATTTATAGGTATGAATGTGTCTTTTGAAATTATAGTTTGAACTGAAAATCAGCAGCTAATTATACAAGATAGCAAGGACATTTATTAAATTAAGTAGAAGCAGAATTAGTTACCTCAATTAAGCAACAGCACAGATGAAAATCTGAATACAAAATGCATTCAAACCAGTCAACATTTAAACTAAAATACTGCTAAGAGTTGTTATACCTGATAATACGGTTGGTCCAGTTTTATCTTATTGTCAACCCATTTATGGCTTCTTTATTTACACTTTGATACAGTCTTTACAAGATGATGAGCATTTACTGCAAACCCTTCTGAATTAATAAAGTATTACAGAAACTACCGTCATGGAGGGTTCTTTTTCTTCTCTTGCAGGCTCTTAAGATAAGACTTCACATATTAATATGAATAGTTTTCTCTATCATCTAGAATCGAATATCTTACCAAACACAAAGGTATAATTAGGAATGTTGTTGTTGTTGCTAAGTGCCATTGAGTCGGATCCAACCCATAGTGACCCTGTATAGGGTTTCCAAGGTGCAGCTGGTAAGCTTGAACCACTGACCTTGCAGTTCGAACAGTTTTGCAGTCTGGCGCATTATGTGAAAATACTGTTTTATAAGTAAATCCATATGTTTCATTTTTGCCTAAAAAAAGTACTGCAGGGCAACTAATTATTCATCACGGCCCTTCTAATCAAATTTCTCAATTCAGCGATGTACTGCAAATCCTAGTGTCTATGTTTGTAAATATGAACCCATTTTGATATACTTGTTAAGGTGTAACAATTAAAGTTGGGCTAAGGAGCTCTGGTAGCGTAGTGGCTACGAATCGGGCTGCGAACCTTAAGGTCAGCGGTTCGAAACTACCAGCCGCTCCGCGGGAGAAAGATGAGGCTTTCTACTCCCGTAAAGATTTACACCCTCGGAAACCCTGTACAGGGTCGCTATGGGTCGGAACCGACTCGACAGCACCTAACAACAACAACAAGGAATAAGGAAGCAACTCTATTGCACAAGACATCGTTAAAGTGTTCAAGAGCAAAGGTGTCTGTTTGAAGACTAAGATATGTTTGACCCAAGCCATGGTTCTTTCAATAGTCTTATGTGTGTATGAAAGTTGGACAGTGAATAAGAAAGACCATAGAAGAATTACTGCATTTGAGTTATGGTGTTGGAGAAAAAAAATTTAAATCCCAGGGACTGCCAAAAGAACACACAAATCTGTGTTGTAAGAAGTACAATCAGAATGCTCCTTAGACGCCCGGATGGTGAGACTTGGTCTCTCATCCTTTGGACATCAGAAGAGGCCAGTCCCTGGAGAAGGACATCATGCTTGGTAAAGTGAAGGAGCAGAGAAAAAGAGGAAGACTCCCAATGAAATGGACTGGTACAGTGATACGGCAATGGGCTCAAGCGTAACAATTGTGAGGATGGCGCAGGACTGAGTGGTATTTTGTCCTGTGTATACACGGTCTCTATGAATCAGAACTGAATTGATAGACCCTAACAACAACAGAAGGCCTGGTGTGGAGCTGAGGGCTAATGAGCCAGACTGCAAAGCCATTGGAACTGCAAGGTCAGCAGTTCAAGCTCACCAGCTGCTCCTCAGAAACCCTATACAGGATCACTATGAGTCGGAATCGACTCGATGGCATTTAACAACAACAACAACAAGAGTAAGGATTACAGTGGAACTATGGATTTAAAGAGCACAACCCTACTAGAGGATATAACTCAAATCATCAGCCTTGGGGAAAAGTTCTGACTTCAGTTGATAGGACTGCTTTGCAAAAACTCTTTCTTGCCCTGGATCTTGCATCTGGTTCATTACACCTGACTTCAGTTTGTGGGACTTTCGACCTATCACCTGACTTGCTTCACCAGCTCCCACAGCCTGGTGCATCAACAGCCTATCATCTGTCCTACAGATATCGGTTCCTCAGCTCCTGAGACTACATGGGTGAGAAGATTCCTCCAGACTTATCTCTGAACTGCAGATTTGGGACTTGCCAGCCTCCACAGAGGAAATATAGCATGAGCTACATTCACAGTCGTGAGTTCTGTGAGATTCACAGAACTATATTCACAGTTGTGAGAACTCACAGAGCTATATTCACAGTTGTGAGTTCTGTGAGACTTTGCAGCATGTCACAGAACCTTGGTACATGAAGGAGGGAAGGTCTGGTGACTGATATCAAGGACAATGGAGGGGTGTACAGCATGTTGGGAAAGTCGGACAGTTGGGATATCTTCAACCTCCAGCTCACAGGACCAGACTTGTGCTGATCTTTCTAAAAGAAATTATCTACGTAGGCATATAAGTCATTGACTAATTCTAATTTTTACAACACATCACAGAAATATGGAAAACGATCAAATATAACATCTGATAATTTTGTGGCTATGAGAATTATTTTCACTACTTTTCAAGGTCACAAAATTATCAGATGTTAGATCATAAACTCACAATTCCTTAATAAAAGGAAAAATACACTCAGAGTAAATCCTTGATATACGTGTTTTTACGTACTATAGTGTACCCAACTCAGCACAATCCCATGTGTTTCAGAGTAGAACTGCCCTCCATGAGCTTTACAACAAATGCGACCTTTCAGAAGTAGGTAGCCAGCTCTTTTTTTCGGATGCATCTCTGGATAAATCTGAACCACTAATATTTCAGTTAGTAGCTTAGTGCTTAACCATTTGAGTCAGGACCCAGCGACTCATGCATTTACAAAGAAAATTTATATTGTTAGATAAGGCTGTCAAGAAACGCACTTCCCAACGACAAGAAAACCACTCTTTAAGAAAGGAACATGAATGATGCTGGCTCAAGGAAACAGATGAAAATATTTTCATTGAAATATACCTTAACTATTTCTTCAATGAAACAAATATGAGAAACAGGGTCTCTCTTCTTGGCTAATACTTTTTGCAGATGTTGTACCTAAAAAAAAAAAAAAAAAAAGGAGGAGTGTTATAAATATAACTGGGCATTTTCCATCAAAACAAATGAGAACCTTTGATAGTAGTAAAGTAAGAAAAGGGAGACAACATTTTGCTACAGTCTTTAAATACAGTATAATAAGCTAACATAGAAGTGCCCAGAAATTTTAAGAATCTGTACAAGATTTAAAACATAATTTTTGTTTTTTTACTTTTTTTTTTCTTCTACCTTCCTTTTTTTTAAATGTTTTAGTATGAATTATGTGATAGTTTACATGTGAGAACATTAGTTTTACATTCATTCTATTGTACATCGTATCATTGCCATGGTTTAAAACATAATTTAAACTGTTTCCAATCTCTAAACTAATTACCTGTCCACAGACAGTACAGATATGATCCATAAGCTTCTCCAGGTTGGTCCAGAGGGAAGCACGGAAAACTGCAGTATGCCCTGGGGTTGGCATAGTAGATCGTCCAGGACCTCCTGCTTATGAACGACAAACACAAAAATGTTCTCAATATAATGAAATGTGTGCTATTACAACATGACAAAATGTAGGCGGGGATTCAAAAAGTTCATGGGACATCATACTGCAAAAAAAAAAAAAGATTATCAAAAAATTCCATGATCTTTCTTTTGGAAAGTCTAAATTTTTATTAATTGACAAAAAGTTTTTTATTACTGGTAGAAAAAGGTAGAGAATAAAATGGAAAATCAAGTTTTATAAGGAGAAAAAGAGCAGAAAACTTTGAAAGTTGCCATTAGTAAATCTAACGCCAAGAGAGAAGGTAGTAACCTTTTATGAAAATGAAGTCTTATTTTCTACCTCCTTGGGTGGTCAATCTATCAGCAAAACAATAAATACTATAGCCTGTCATGTCCCAAAGCTTTATATATATAGTATACCTTTATGTATATAATATACCTCATATACATATGTACTATATGTATCCCGCCGCAACTTGGTTTTTCATGTGACGATTTTCAAAACTATCTGTTGCTAATTGTGTTTATTTAAATGCTGTGTAGTAGTCTTCTTAGCAATGATAGAATAAAGTCAATCCATTCTCTTATAGAAGGAAGGTTTATCTCACCTTATTACTATTATAAACAACACAATAAAAATTCTTATACATGTGTGTCAGAGCCTCTTATAAGAGAAATTATAAAACCAAAGTTTGATAGTTAAGGATTTTCTTTAATCAACTTGACTGGGCCAGGATTATCAGTGGTTGGCAGCTGAGATGTACTTATCTCCGTAATGAAATCTAACACAATGCATTGAACTTGATGATGATTGCCTATGAGTCGCCAATCAACTGAAAGGATGTTTCTTTGGGGTTGTAGTCTGCTTCCAACATATTAGACACTCGGCAAAACTTGTTTGCTTTTCTGCTGGATCTTGCATCTGGTTCATCTTTCGACCTCTGGTTCTCTGAACCTGAGCCAGTAGCCTTCCTTTTCTGATTATCTGCCTGGGAGCCATCACCAGCCTGCCTGTCTACCCATCTTGGTTCATCTGACCTGAACTTGTGAACCATTTCCTTATTTAGATATAAATTTCACTGGTTTTGCTTCTCTAGAGAACCCAGCCTAAGACACATTGTTGTTGTTGTTGTTGTTGTTAAGTGCCGTGGAGTTGGCTCCAACTCAAAGCAAACCTGTACAGGGTTTCTGAGGCTTTAATTCTTCCCAAGAGCAAAAAGCCTAATCTTTCTCCCACAGAGTGGCTGGCGGCCTTGAGCCACAAATCTATGGTTTGCAACCCACTGCTTATCATATGGAGCCACTGCGCTACCAAGGACATTAGGTAAATAGACTTTTAACTTTAAATGTCAATTTCATAATACTTAATAAAACAAGTGAACCAATTTATTCTCCTACTTGGTGTGGCACTGTAGGATAAGTACTCGACTGCTAACCACAAGGTTGGCGGTTCCAACCCACCAGCCACTCCTTGGAAACCCTATATAGGGCGTCTATGAGACAAACCAACTTCATGACACTTAAGAACAGCATGTAAACAATTGCTTTTATTTTCTCTCCTCCTCTTCTCATTGCCATTTTTGACAACACAAGAGGGAATGAGGTTAAACTGCTACTGAAAATTTAAACATTAGATCAAACTTTGAGAATAATTGCTGGGAAAGGCTGAGAGTGAAATCTTCTTTGGCAATTTCTTTTAAAATCCCTTTCTAGAATAGACTTAATACCATGCAAATCAGAGGCCTGTGTTAATCTTTAAAAATCCCTTTGAGATGTAAGAGCCTTTTATCTATTTTTATCTAGTACAGTTTATTATGAGGTACATATAATCAATGACAATTAGAATCATGTTTATGTAGTAGCTATAACAATAAATGGTTGCAAATATTTTTTCTATATTAACAATGTTCTATTAATTCTACACAGGCAATTTCATTGCTCCTTTAGGATTAGGATACTTTCAGTAGAAAAATGGGAAGAAACAATTAGCGACAGTAGATACAAAGAATATTTTGGAGCAATTTTCTGTAGGCTGGAAAAATAAAATAGGACATAAAAGCTGAAAAAGAAATGGAATCAAGATAGATACGCTTGACTTATTTTAAGCAGAAGATACAACAGCAAAATGGAACGATAGGAAAGAAACAATAAAGGAGGCATAATTGACAATGTGGCAGAGAAGTGATCTACTGCAACAATATCCTTGAGGGAATGAATCCAGTGTAAAAGTATCATAGGTGGTTTTTGCTAAGAACAAGTACAATTCATCTATATTGACAAGAGAGAAAGAAGAATATATGGTAGAAATGTGGATATGGATTTTCAGAAAGTAAGTGAAAGCTATACATAACCCATGGTCTTTCCTATCTGTGAGGAAGTATCATATACAGTCATCTGCTACATAAAGTCCATTCTGGCAAAATCCAACTACATATAATCTGTGGTCTCAGTCCCTGTAAAGCCTGTTGCATTAAATATCCAAGGTGCATACAATAGTTTGTAATAATAAGCGGGTGCTACACTGCGATGGATGGAGCTCTGGTAGCGTAGTGGTTACGAATCGGACTGCAAACCTTAAGGTCAGCAGTTTGAAACTATCAGCTGCTCCGCGGGAGAAAGATGAGGCTTTCTACTCCCGTAAAGATTTACACCCTCGGAAACCCTGTACAGGGTCGCTATGGGTCGGAACTGACTCGATGGCACTTAACAACAACAACAACAACAACACTGCGATGGGCACCAAAGCCGTACTATTATTACTACTGTATTATTATGTTAAAGATGTTTTAGTAGACAGGCAAAACTTGGAAATATTGCAGGTATGTTTCCAGACCACAGGAATTAAGTAAGTACCACAATAAAATGTGTCACAAATGTTTGATTTCTCAGTGCATATAAAACATTATACTGTAGTCTATTAGTATGAGTCCTGGTGCTGTGGATTAATGCACTGGACTGTAAAGTCGGTTTGAACCACCAGGTCAGCAGTTCAAGCTCACCAGCTGCTCCTCAGAAACTCTACACAGGGTCATTATGGGTCGGAATTGACTCGACTGCACGTAAAACAACAATTAAGTATGAAACAGTTAATGAAATATTTAAACATCATGAAAAAGTTTAAATACTGTGAAAATAAATTAAATATACTAGGAAAAATGGTGCATGTCGACTATATTGATGCAGGATCGCCACAAACTTTCAACTGGTAAAACACACACTATTTGCAAGGTAAAACTAAAGCGATGCACAATAAGATGAGGTACACCTTTATGTGGAAGTATTTATTTATTTATTTTTAATGAATAGGTAGCCATACTCTAGACTATGCACTAAGGAAAACATCTGACTGATGGGAGATACAAACTGTACCTAACTGCTCCGAATTACACACAACCTGACTTAAAGACAGATTTAGGATGTTGAAATCACAGCGTGTCCAATTTCACAGAATGTATATGTGAATACCTCACCAAGTATGTGGTGGCAAGGAAAGGGTTGAAGACTGTTACTCTAGGGCTACTCATCTTCACCTTCAACTGTCTTTCCTAAATATTTTTCTTTAAGCTTTGGTGATTCAAGCACAAGGTCGCTATGAGTTGGAACTGACTGGATGGCACTTAAACACTACTTGTTGTGTTAAATGCCGTTGAGTTGGCTCTGACTCATAGCAACTCTGTATAGGGTTTCCAAAAAGCAGCTGGGGAGTTTGAACTGCCATTCTTGCAGTTCAAACCAACCTTTCAGTCCGGTGCTTATCTTACAGTGCCACACTACTACTACGTTATACTGTGGGGACAGTTCATTGGTAGAATTCTCGTCTTCCCTGCAGGAGACCCAGACAATGTACATAACATGTACCCAGTACTTGTCTGTCAGTGGAGACTTGTGTGCTGCTATGATCCAAACATGTTTCAGCAGATATTCCAAAGACAGACTAGGAAGAAAGACCTGGCAATCTACTTTGAACAATTAGCCTTATGGAGGTCTGATCCTGCTCCATATGGGGTCACGAGGAGTTGGGGGCAAACTCAACAGCAGCTAACGACAATAACTTAGTTATAATGCTCCCATAGATTTATCAGTGTTTACCTCTACATTTAGCCATTATACATTTAGCTCCTGACTACCAGAATTATCATAAGGAAAAATCCAGAAGGTTAAGGTAGAAATGTGAGACACGAGGATAAGGATTTTAGGAAGAAAACAATGTTCTTTTGCTTTTCTTTTTTTACATCTGTTTCCTCTCAACTAAATGATGTCACAGTTTATAGATTTTTAACTTGAAGTTCTGAATATACCAATTGGCCAGTTCAGCTGACTGATTAGAGGAGAAAGTTATAAATAAATTCTGAAACATAATTTCTTCTCTCATTTTCTGTCTACTAAAAAATGAGTCATTAGATTGCTTTGAAATTTGAGTGCAACATACTATTCAAAGGACTTCTCAGTTATAAATAAATAAAGAATCTAAATAGAAACCATAACCATACCTCTCACAGCTGACTGGGAAGGCTGAGTCAAAACTTTGATGTCTAATGCACTGTTAATATTTTCTTCTACAGAAGCACAATATCCTTCCACGACACTGGCAATAGTATCCTTCAATGTCCCAAGATTATGGAAAACTTGAAGAGCTGTTCCGACTTGGGTTGGATTCTTTAAGAAAAGATGTGGGTGGGGTGGGGAGAACAGATATAAATAAAAAAAATTAAAAAAAACAAACAAGCAAAGCCAAAATAAATCTACAACTGTAAGTGATGCTTGAGCAGTTACTACCATATTTCTAAATTATCAAAGAAAAAAAAACAAAGGCAATGCTTTTGAAACACGTATCATTTATGTCAAATAAAATGAAGTTAAATAAACACTATGCATATTATATATTTCATGCTTTCCATTGTTTCCTCCTTTAAAGACAATAAGTTAAGATGTCTGTTGTATAATAGTAAAGCTTATTCAAAATTTACCACCAACTCCTATTGGGCCGGCTGTGTGCTCTCAAGTCAGGTCTGAATAGGTTTCTCCGAGGCTGTAAATCCTCAAAGGAGGAGAAAACCTTATCTTTTATCGAGACTGTTAGCTGCCCAATGCATTACCCACTACACAACCAGGGTTATTTTCTACCTTTGGTTGTTGCTGTGGTTGTTAAGTGCCATCTAGTCAGTTTCTACCCATAGCGACCCTGAATAGGGTTTCCAAGGAGTGAATGGTGAGTTTGAACCACTGAACTTACTGTTCAAATCGACCTTGTGGTCGAGTGTTTAAGAGTAAAGAAATTAATTCTACAGAATTGTTGATGGTTGAGCCATATAAACTGAAACTTACTGCTCATTATGCTTCATTCACTTTCATTTGTCATTCTAACTATAAATATTTATAGAGTGGTATGTGTTTCTCATAGTTACAAGTACTGAAAATAAAACTGCAAACAAAATCAATTGCCTCTACTCTATGGTGCTTATGCTTTCTGATACATAGAAAAAAACAAATAAAACCATATCAGGTAGTGATGATTGTCATGAAAATAAAAGCAGATGGGATAGAATAGAAAATGATGGGCCTTATTATAGACAGTGCAGTTACAGTGCATTTTGAAGGTGCTATCAGATCAGAGGCCTGAGTACAGTGAGGGAGGGAGTCAAAGGAGGATATGGGGAAATGCAGATCCAAGCAGAACTTCAGTGAAAGGACAGAGGTAGAAACATGGTTGGTGTGATAGTGAAACTGCAAGAGGGCCATGGTGGTGGCTGGATCAGAGCGACCGAAGCAGAAGAAGGTAGGTGATAGGTCAGAGAGACAGGTAACAGAAACAGGACTATGACTAGAGTACATTCATAGTGATGTATGTAGATTGTTGGATGTATCACTTACTGAAGAGCTGATGTATCCAGCTAAAATTGAATATACCAACATATATTTCCAGATCCAAAGAACTGAAATTGCTTTTCATTTATGATTCAGTGTCTGTTATTAGAGACACATGGTTAAAATGTTAAATTATTTCATTAATTTATTTTCTAGACTGCGAAGTTTATAAATAGGGCAAAATGTTACTTCTCAAATTTATTGATGTTATTTTAGAATAAATGGAGTCCTGGTATGACGCTGTGGGTTAATATGCTGGACTGTAAAGTTGGTCTGAACCACAATATCAGTGGTTCAAGCTCACCAGATACTCCTTGGAAATCCTACACAGGGTTGCTATGGGTCGGGACCGACTCAAGGGCACTGAACAACAACAACAATTTAGAATAATAGTACATGCAGCAGATAACACACACAGAGGGAAACAGAATCAGCTTTAAAAACAATCACACAAAATCAGTAGGAACATTGTTCATGAATAACAATATCCATCTGAGAATTTGTTTTTATGAAACAAGAGCCAAATGGATACTATTTCAAATTACATTCTAATTGAACAACTTAATCTAGTTATAGAAGAATCTACAGGAGCCTTGGCTGCACAAATGGTTAAGTGCTCTAGTGCAGTTTGTTCTGACCCATAGTGACCCCATATAACGAGTAGAAGAGCCTGGAGAGCTTCCTGGGCTGTCATCCTTAGGGGAGTGGAGCACTAGGTCTGTACCCCATGGAGCTCCTAGACGGGCTTGTACCACCAACCATTCAGTTAGGAGCAAAATCTTTAATGGTTATGGACTAACAGATCCCTTAGCAACAACACAGTAGAATTTAATTCTTGTATGTATTATCAGTTCTCTTAGCATCTCATTAAAGACAATGTGAAAAAATAAGTGATTTCACATAAATGCATTCACTGAAAACACCAAGTTTGGCACTTTGCTTTTGTTGTTGCTGTTTTAGTTTTTGTTCCCTTTTCCCCAGAGTGCTACTTTTAAAAACACTTTTTAGTAGATCAAGTATCAAAACTAGGCCACTGTAAAGAAGCTGCTGTTATCACTATTCAAGTGTCTATATTATCACGTATATGATCACAAACTGATCACCAGATATGTACTTTGAAATTATATTTATTGCCTTTCTACCTTCTACCTACCTAAAAAACATTATTAGATAAATACACATTATAAGATCTTCATGTAAGTTAACTGGGAAACATTTAAAATCATATTTCACTTTTAAAATCTGGCTAAATGAACCAGTCTTCATAATTTCCCTGTCCAAAAATTAGCAACTTTTAAAACTTTTCAAAATAGAAACATAAATAACTCATTATCTTTAAAACATATTAGTTTATGAAAGTGGTAAAACTATATCCTATCTAAGACAGGAAATATGTGGGGCCTGGGAAAATACAGCAGTCCTGTACTTTTTTATTTTGGTCTGGCTTCTTTTGCTTACTAACATTTTGACTGAGAAACATAACCATGTTGCTGTGTGTAGCAACAGCTGATGTATTTTTATTGCCCAATAGTATGCCATTGTAGAAATTCACATTAGTTTATCCAGTCTACTGTTGATGTACACTTTAGTTATTTCAACTTTCAGCTATTAGGCATACAGTGTTCATGAACATTTTAGCATATGAGATTCGGTGAACACGTAAACATAGGCAGTTTAGCTAGGTAAGAGAAATTGCTAGGTGACAGAGTATTGGCATGCTTAGTGTTTGTAGATACAGATTCTTCAACACTTTATAACTTTACACCATGACCAGAATATAGATGAGAGCTGTACATGCCCCGCCTCCTTGCAAGTGTTTAGAATCATCATCTCTTTGACTACAGCTAGTTTTTTCAGTGACCATTCTGATTTTAATTAATTAGATTGTAAGATATATTAGAAAGAATATAGGATTTTAAAATTAAAATTTAAAGTCTGGAAATGAAAACCCCACTCTACTATAAATACATATTCTCTGGCAATTGCAAGAAATCTTAAAACAGGCAAGCAGAACATCTTAAACATATCATGTTGAAACCAGGTGCCACCAAGTGAATTCCAACTCATGGCAGCTTCTATGTGTTAAGCAGAACTGTGCTTCAGACTCACAGCCACCCTGTATAGGGTTTCTGAAGAGTGGCAAGTGAGCTTGAACCACTGACCGTGCAGTTCAAACTGACTTTGCAGTCCAGTGCATTAACCCACAGTACCAAACCTGGACTCCTACCGACTAGCAACCCTGTATTGGTTTTCCAAGGAGCAGCTGGTGGGTTTGAGCCACCAACCTTGAGGTAACAGTCCAATGCTTATCCTACACCCAACTTAGTCAATCTATGATTCCATTGTGTTGCTGTAATTGTAATTCCTGTAGTTTACTGCTGCTATTAATTAGAAATCCCTGAGTTCTGAGAATCCAACTTTCTAGAGTTTGAAAAGGGGACCATTTATAATTTTTCATTTTGTGGGGGTGGGTGAGGGAGGAATGGTGTTAAAGAGGTTGTTCCTCTTACATAACTGAAACCCGGAATTGCCAATGAACAGATCTCATTATGTATAATGCACATACTGGAAACACATAGCACACACAGGAATATGCTTTCAGTCGATACACATAGGCATTCACTCAAGGGCTAAATTGGTAATGAGTCCTACATACATACATGTATACATGTACACATGTTCTAGAAGGAGCCTTACATGCATACATGTACATACATGGTTTCAGTCAACAGACATAGACAATCACTCGAGGGGTAAACTGGTAAAGAGCACTATATATATATATATATGAAGGAGCTCTGGTAGCATAGTGGTTACGAATCGGGCTGCCAACCTTAAGGTCAGCGGTTCGAAACTACCAGCCGTTCCGTGGGAGAAAGATGAGGCTTTCTACTCCCGTAAGGATTTACACCCTCGGAAACCCTGTACAGGGTCGCTATGGGTCGGAACCGACTCGACGGCACTTAACAACAACAACAATACATATATATACACACAAATGTGCTAGGAGATAAACTTTCTACTAAAAAGGTGTTGTTGTTGTAGCAATGTTTTTTCTTTAAATTACATTTTCAATATTCTGAGAATATTTTTATATAGATTGCTACAGTAACTTTCAACAAATCATTTAACCTTATATAAAAGATCAAACTTTGTAAACTGAAGTATGACAATGTGATGAAAGATCATGAAATAAAACACAAAGGAGCATTTCATAAGTAGATCAAGATAGAGTAGTATACCTTCAAAAACTTATCAGGATATGACCACAACCATTTTCTTGATTAAACTGAAATTATGTCTCTTGCTTTTGAAATAAATATGATGTATTTTTCCTTCTTTCTCAACATCACCATAGCATATGTGGAAGGAAAATAAAACTTCACAACAATATAGTCAGAGATGGAAAGAAAAGAAGCATGGTTGTTTAAGATCCCTAAAATGCTTGCCAAAACTGGAACACTATAACCAAAGCAACAGCTGGCATAGAGTCCATGGAATAGGATTCAACAAGACGACTGCAAGGACTGCTCCATGAAATGCCAAGCACTAACTCCAGGCCAACTAAGCTATGGGCAAATATGAGATGACTTCTAGAAGCATAAATAGAGCATTAGATTAAAAGTTTGAAGGATTTCTGAAGCTTTATATAACTGAAATTTGAAATAGAAAAAGTGACAGGACTTAATTTGAGACAAAATACAAAAATAATATAAATGCACATAAAAAAAAGTATACACTCTAGGACTCCACTGTGGATGAGAGTATTATGTACTAAAAAATCCAAAAAG